CTACTTTTTTTAAAAAAACCTAAAAAGAGAGAATAAGTATGCTGTCAAATGGGATCTATTGATATGTATGTATGTGTTTGTAAAGAACAAGTAGGATGTCGAAGTTTTCAGAATTTTGAAGATGAACTAATGCTTTTTAAAATTTTAAAGAAAATGTAAACTAAGTATGATGTCAAATGGAATCTAATGATCTGTATATAGGTGTTTGTAAAGGAGAAGTATGATGTTTGAAAACATTTCAAATCAGAATTTATTTATTAATAATGTGATATAATTACGGAATATAGTGAATTAATAGCCCTCGGTAACATTTTTGAAATTTTCAGCTGTGGAAATTTGAATGTGAATTTTGGGAAATAATAACAGAATATAATGAGTTAATATGTAACGGTAACATTTCCAAATGAGAGGTTACAATTCTTTTGCTTAAGTTACTAAAAACTATAAGAAATTTATAAATAACTAAATTAATTCCATTCATTTAGCCTTCGGTTACATTTTTGAAATTTTCAGCTGTGAAAATTTGAATGTGATTTTTGGAAAATAATAACAGAATATAATGAATTAATATGTAACGGTAACATTTTCAAATGAGAGGTTACAATTATTTTGCTTAAGTTATTAACTATAAGGAATTTATAAATAACTGAATTAATTCCATTCATTTAATTTGAAGGTAATATTATCTGGAAATATTACATCACAAATGGATGTGTCGTGTATTTCTTTCGTTGACAATTTACCTTCCTACAATTTAAGATTCATGTGTCAGGTGATTATCTGAGGAAAATTGAAAAACTCTAAATGACAAGGTGTTTTATTTCCTTGGTGCAAATTAAAAGACTCCACAGATTGAAATCTCCACGGGTAAAAATCATTTGCATGATGAGTGAAAGGAATGATTTAAAATCAAAAACTTAAAATAATTGAGTTTGTGATAAGGTAAATGGCACGAAAATTATTGGGATAGAAAGCACTTCTAAATTAACTTGGTTCAAGTAAATAAAATTGAAACAACTCAAACTAACACGAGCAAGGAAAAAGAAGGAAATGTATTAAAAGTTCAAATCATAGAATCAAACGTTCAAATCCTAGAAAATAAGATCAAGCCCTCCATCTGTAAGTACGCATTCTGCAAATCATCTGCCAGTTGACCATCAAATGTCTACTCTTTGAGCTCATCAAGAATAATTTGGGCTTTGTTTCTTCTGTTAAAAATGAACAATAAGAAAATGAGTTTCTTTTGAGGGGTTTAAAATGTGTAATGAAAAAAAAACAATTAATAGTAAACCTATTAGTGCGGGATTTCTTAGACTCATGACATTCCGATTCCATTCCCACTTTTGCATTACTTGCTGTGCCGATGGTTACCTTTGTAAATTTGTTTTGACTACTGGGTTCACATGTCTCGCGCCGCTATGAAGTAAACTGTATTAATACTAATACCAACAACGCAATGGCGCAGGGCTAATAGAAATCAAAGAGAAAGGTTGATCAATCTAACCTTTTTGGTGACAACACTGGTAGGCAGTGAGACATCATAAACTGGAAAACTATGATATTTAGCAGTGAAGTTATACTCTGACACTTTGACATAAAAGAACAAAACTCTTCCAACAATATCATGAATGGCTTGTGGAACTCTATCTCCAAAATCACCATTCTGTGCTTCAGCCTGTTTCATAAGAATTAAATTGCTTAGTATTACGTAAGGGAAAGGGGAAGGAAAAATCTTAGAGTGTTGTAAAATAAATGTGTTACACTCTTCGCAGCAAGGTCAAATGCAGTTGTCTTCGACAACTTTTCACCAGCTTTTTCGAAAATAACAAATGTGGAAGTATCATTATCATCTTCCACGATAACCTCAATATGGTACCTATGACATTCAATAAGTAGATGTATAGTTAAGAGGTGGAGGAAAAGTACAACTAAGTTACACTATGGGATTTTGGTACATACCTAAGCACCCCAACGGCTTGAACAGTAGGACAAGTTTCACAAGTAATTTTTCCTCCGCTTTTAGTCATTTTGTTAGAACAGCGAGTGCATGCGATAAAGAACCACCCACTGGTTAATATCACGTCGACCACCTTCGCCTTACACCAAAACATCTTGGGGTTGCCTCCCTTGTCGTTGNNGAANGCCAAAATTTNCCCAATACTTTGAACATCAGTAGGAATGGACTCTNCAGTTCCATCAACGCTCGTAGGGAGAAGAGTGTTTTTATAGTATGTGCTGGAATTTCGGAGGGGAAAAACATGTAGTAATAGTTAAATACGTGGAAANACTGGTTTATGAAACGCTAGATGGTCATTTCAGTACCTTTGCCGGAAGTCTTTACTGATCATGTTTCTAGGTTGAAGAAAATTCGAGTCGACGCGGTCGCGTTGAGATATATTTGGCCTTACAATGTTAAATAAGAAGCATAGTCAGAGCTCTATTGAGACAATATAATACATATAGTTTTCCCTTTTAGGTAAATAATACATTCTACTAACATTCTGAATCAAGTAATAGACCATAAACATTCTGAACCCTGTTATATTTACTAAAATCCCGTCGTCGGAGTAAAATAACAGATTTATCTATGCTTCAAAATTCAGATTCAAAGAGGTACTCATCTACTCAATAAACAGATTTATAGTGAACCACTCAGAGAACAAATTCAATAAAACACAAAGGAAGAACTTCTAGATAACTAAAATAACATATTTATTTACGCTTCAAAATTCAGATTTAAAGAGGTACTCATCTACTCAATAAACCGATTTATTGTGAACCACTCAAACAACAAATTCATTATACATTTTACAGTCTAACAGATTTATTGTCAACTACTCAAGCTAACTAATAATCCATTATACAGTGTAGCAAACACAAGAAGAACTTCAAGGTAACTATTAGACCTAACTTACCACCAACAGCTCTTGGGTTCACGCCAGTTGCAATGACAAGAAGAGGTGCGTCTTTTAGTTTGACAAGTTCTTCACTAAGCTGGTGTGCGAGTTTTTCCCATACCGATATATAAGCAGTCTCACCACTACATATGGTATCAGAAATTACTAATTGTAATATGAATAAAGAGTAAGCAAAATTGTATGAAAAAATATATGTGCTATTGACCTGTCAAAAGTACATGCAAGAGTAAGATTTAAGGNAGTCCTAGGAGGAGTCTTTGTCTCGTCCACCTTCTGTGAAGTCTTGATGCATGTCACTTGTGCAATAACATCTTCAAATAAGAGAGAAGTAGCGAAGTTAGCTTCGTAGAACTGTATTAANAAAGTAAGAGTGTATTTTCAGTTTAGTACCTGGTAAGTGCTCTCCTTTGTTTACCATCATTTGAAGGTCTGCAAATGGACGGATACGGAAATACTCATGGGGAATGTTGTGTTGGTCACCATTCACATCTTCCAAAGCTGTATGGTCATTGAAGTAGATTTTAAATGGATGATCAGTTAACCGGTAGCAGTTAAGGTTTTGCTTGACATCAAATGCGGTTATGGAGAAGATCTTCCCCTCTTTAAGCTTATTCCTAAACTTGTGTAGTCGACGGGGGTGGATNGATGCCTGGATTGATGCATTCTACACAATGGAAAAATTCAGAGTATATTAGTGACGAAGCACTGTGGTGTAGAAATAAATTAAAGGTAATGCAAGTGATTAACTATACCTNCTCATCGACAAGGAAGCAATTGACACTGAGCAAACAATTGTTCTCTTTAAAATTANGGGCTTCCCACGTCCGCAGTAGATGGACAACAATACATTGGGACTGAAGTTTTTCATCTATTGCATCAAGGGTTGTGTAGGAGAAGGGGGCAATGGCTGAGTCGATATCATTTGATACCATTGTGAGAGAAATGTTTGCGAGAAAATTGTTTTTTTCCGCAATATGAATGACAAAGGACCGAGAGGATGATGAGAAATTTATAGGGTGAAATAAAACATATAGGAAATAAATGGTAATAACTCCGTCAAAAATTATGGTCTTTGGAATATATTTGAATTAGTCAGAATTGATAAAAGAAACGTTTTTTGGAATTGGAAAAGATACGTTTTTGGCCTTCAATTTTAATTATTATTGATTACAAATTTAATAGGCCACATAATCAGACATACGCTTATTAATGATTTCTAACAAACAAATGGTATTAAAATAATTACAATTTATTTAAAATTCCATCCAAATCTATATGAAAAATCGACTTATCATTTGATACCAAACCAAATCTAATATACTCTTTGGAAAAATGCTTAAAACTTTTAAGTTTGCATATATATATTTCTATCCTTACCTTTGAGTTAACAAATCACGGACAACCCAAATTGAATGACCCAAGTCAGAGGCTCAGAGCCCATTAAGATTCATCTTTTTTTTTTTTTCGATCAGTTTCAGATTTGAGACGTAACAACCATACCTCTCTCCTTCAATTTCATAGCTTCACGTCGTCGCTGGAGACCTGTAGCTTACTGCTTTGGTGAACGATGACTCTTGCTCACTTCTTCTTCTGTGCGAATCTCGCATTCGGCCCCCATGCCATCTACTACTCCGCCACTCGCTTTTCTGGTTTCTTCATGCCTGATCTTGATCATCGATCCGTAATTTTGGGAGTAGAGAGGAAAGGAAGAGGAAAAAGGCAAGAGGAAGAAACTGGAAAAAAAAAAAATAGATCGATCCGTAAGGAGGGGGGGGCGGAGAGGAAAGAAAGAGGAAAAAAGAAGAAATTGGAATAGGTGGGCCTATAATTGCTTAATCAAAACAGAAGAGGTTTAATCAAAATACAATTTGGTTTGGAGGAGAAGAAATCGGATTAGATTGGATCGGACGACCACGACCATGACCATAACCTCCTTGAGTTTGAGATTCCGACGAATCACGTCCTTGATTCACCGATTCGTTACGATTGATACCGAATTGTCCACTTCCATCTCCACCGCCGCCGCGTCCACGACCATGACCAGAGCCATCGGAGGAAGAAGAGAAATGAGAAGTGGGTTGAATCAGAAATGGGTTTTGCTTCAGTATAGAAGCGAAGGTAAAGCCATTAGGGTTTGATAATCTTCTTCCTATAACACCTCTCATCTGTGTGAATTTTCCTTCTTCAAGATAAGAATCGAACAACAATGGCGATTGATCTC